CACACACACACACACACACACACACACACACACACACACACACACACACACACACTCCACCTTTTACCTAAGCATCCTAATTCTAACTCCACGCGTACAGATTTCTTGTTAGTTTTATCGATAAATATCTCATTAAACATGCCAGTCTCGGACCACGAGTTTCGTTTGAAATGAGATAATCAATTTTATTTTACGAACACCATCTCCCATTGTCATTGAAAACTTCAAATGTGCCTTTTTTGACCCATTTTTAGAATACAGTCCAGTTTTAATTTCGTTATATCCATATTGCAGTATGTGTGACTTGTGTGTAAATAAATAAATATGTTTACGAAACGATTAAAAAATTAAAATATTTTTATAGTTATAAGAAGTTATAAATATAATTATCGAAACCTGTTAAGTTGCAATCAGTGGCGTATTTTAAACTTTTTTTTTTGTAGGGGCCCAACAGTTTTTTAAAAATATTTTATAAAATTGATATTTCAATATATTTGGTTATCCTTTTTTCTTTTTTTGTTCTATGGGGAGGGGGTCAAGACCCCTTGACCTCTTCTCCCGTAAATATGCCACTGATTATAATTGTAATTTATAAGCAACAGTTCGTTATCATTTATCGACAGGCTAGTGCCGATAGTCAGCAATAGGTACGATTGCATGATACATGTTGTTTTGGCATATTATTACAGTAGAAATATGTTACAATAAACCCGTACTACCATCACACCTTATTTAACATGTAAATATTATCTTCAAAATATTTTAAAATATATAAAAATGGTTAAACAGTTTTTGGATGTCTTTTTATTAAAATTAGCTAAACATTTTTGTTTCGTTATTTGTATATAGTTATTTTAAGACGAATTGTTGGTGACACGCGCGCGAATGAATACACACACACACACACACTCGCGCATACGCAATAAATACATTCGCATTATTCATCGAAATTTCTTTTAATATTCGTTATTTCAAATCTTTTTCAATTTGATCTCTATTTAAATTCAATAGTTTATCTAAATATTCATGTAATATACGTATATACGGTGTATATCTATTTTTTTTTTTTTTGTCGTGTTGACTACAATCATGTATGCACATTTTAAAACATATTGAAATATGATACTTATACATGAATTTTTTTGATTTATTTTAAACATATTTCGTGTCATGCCAAGTATTATTTAAGTAAAAAATAATATTCAATAATAGATTTGCGTATAGCGCATGTTCTATATTATACAAAATATATACTTATAAATGTGTAAGTAGTTGTAAGTTGTAACGAATGTAATTATGCTATTTTCGATATGTTTCATACCTTGTACAGTTGTGCGACGTACATCCGTACATGTATGATCGTTTCATACTGTTATGCAAACAAAAACCACACCCTATGGCTGACTTAAACGAATTTACATGACCACAAAGAGGTTTCGATATTTTCCGTCTTACAGCAAAAAAATATTAGAAATAAATTATTTAAAAAATGTGTTATTAATTGTCACTACGTATAATTGTCACATAGTCGCTTAGAGAAAATCAATAATGAGAGAATAGAAATAGTCATGGATGACAATAACATGAAAATAAAATAATGTTCGTACCAAAAATTAATTTGACGTAGTAGGTATGTCGTCTATACGGCTTTATGTTCTCATTACTTCTCAGGCCACGAAGACGAAGTAAACATATTTATAGATCTCGTTTTATGTATATATACACGAATATTATATTTCGACACAGCGGTGTAGCAATAATGTTCACTCTCTTCATCGTACAGTCATTTATTTTGTTTAATCCCTGCCACGCTCTACACAAACATATTATCGCTCCGTTGTAAAAATATCAAAACGGTCAGCCTCATTTTGATAAATGTCTTCCGTGACTCCAATATTTAAGATATATTATTTAATCTATTATTTTATTTTATTTGATACTATAGATGTATCTATATTGGAATTTAGTAAAATTGGGAAGGACGGTAAGTTTAAATTCACCGGTCAGATTCGAAAGACCCTTAATCTGATAAAATAATGAGCATAACAATATTAAAACATTTCAATAATTACACAAAACAAATCAATACGTTTTTGTGACTGTAGTAGTTGCTTTAATTTTTTAGCCTAGACCTACATACTTATTTTTTTATACCACCCTCGACTCCTCGAGTCACTTACAAAATATACATCGCTTTGCTCGAAGTTAGAAAAATATTACTTGTTAGTTTAAGTTACAATATGTATTATATTACTATTTTTATGTACCATTAAATATTTCAAGGTGTCTTATAACAATTTAAATTCCTCTTTTAATAGCAAGTCAATTAGTGTTTATTATGTTTTTATGCTATTAGTAATTCTTGTAAATTAAATTTTAAATATAGTAATTAGTTGATAATTCAATAACATCGTGTTACCTACTATGATTAAAATTCAAATATTTTTAATAATTGTTATAGTTATTTATAAGTAATTGTATTGTTATTTGCTTGTTTTTGTTGTTTTTATTTTATATAGCTACAGATTATGTAGCATTGAAAGAGATTTAATACTTAAAATATTTTTAATAAACTTAGGTATTCATTCAAAAACATAGTTAAATAAGATATTAGTACAAAATGAGTTTTTATATTTTACAACATTAAAATATATTTTTATTATAATAATGAGCTCTAGATTAAAATGTATAATTTAGCTAAATTCATAAACGATCGGTAAGTACCTAATTACTTATCATTATTTATTCAGCGAAAGCTTTACAATCGTTTATAAACTACGCTGTTGGTTTCTATAATCGATTTAATCTACCGTTAATAATTATTTTATTAAGTTATGTGAAGATAGTAATTTTAGTTAATTGCTTACCGGCTGCCCAAACGTGGGATCCACTCATCCACTCGTTTAATTTTTTTTCTCAATAAAAGTATCAACATTATTCAATATCAAGCCATCATAAGTTATAACTTATAAGTATTAACTTACGTAGAACGTTATAAGTGTTATAAGTTAAAATACTCAACGCTCATAGATAAAATATTATGTACAATGCGGGAATATAAATCGGAAATTCAAAACACTCGTTAAGTATAGAAATATAATTATTTATTTTGTTTTATTATACTATTCCTCTATTCCTAAACCATTTAATACTAGCTGTGTCAGTCAAATCGTACAAAGCCTTGACACTCAAGTCACTTAAATAATTTGTTGTCTTAAAATGTACCAAATAATTTAAAACATTAAACATTGATCTTAAATACTTTTTATTAACAATTTATTAAAAATGCAAAATTAAATATTCAATTGGTTTCGTAGTTACTATTGTTACTAATATTCCGTTTCTACTTATTATTTATAAAGTTGTAAGTAATATTTTTGATAAGTGTGAAAACGTGAAATATTCATTACCTGCACCTATAAGGTTATGAAAATTAATATATAATAAATATCAGTGATGTGACAACATGAGCAAATGTAATAATGGAAAAATTTATCTATTCATATGAATGCTAACGAATCTATTACTATAATATACTTTAAAGGCCTGTAAACGTTAACTTTAATAAAGTTATGGTTAAAAAGTAATACATAACAAAAAAACAATCGTAATTTTTAACTATAATTAAAGCAGAAAACGAAAAGAATGATAAAAATAAAATACCACAAAGTAAACATAATGATTAATGGTTAATAATATATATGCATATTATATATATATATATATATATATATATGTATATATGGGATATCATTGAACAAATTATAACGCAAAACAAAGTATAAGTGTAGGCTAATATATTAAATAAGAACTAACATCAAATGAAATAATTATAAAATCATTTTATATATTGTTTCATAAAGACACGTCATTTCTCCATGAATATTGATTTTGTACAAATTATATTACCTATATTCTGTATCCTGGCAATTACGGCATTATTAATTAAATATTATCATTACATTCTTTATATTTATATTATGATAATTATTATTTACAGTAAATAGAATTTTAACATTATGACTTGACATTTGTGGTCTTACATCATAATATTATGATGCCTTTGTGCAATAAGCTTTTGTTAAGAAGACGTCGATCCTAGAGTGCTACCACTGCTACCACTGGGAAATTTCCCCGCTCATACCTCATAATAAAATTCCTTTACTTCATTAAAATTACTTATTATACAGATTATAAATTGTTATTTTTTAAATAAATAAAAAAGGAGAACGTCATATCCGCATGTGTTGTCTTACATTCATACAACGTATCAAATGTACGTTTAGTAGAATCTATTATGTGTTATAAACTTAAATATTAAAGTGAATTTATCTTTTATAAACGTTAAAGATTAGAATATTATTTAAGGTATCACACAGACTTGTATTGATATTTTTATTTTAAAGTGAGTTATGAGCATTTTA